AAAAAAGTTGTCGTTATGTTCCAACTTCTGAGGAAGAAGGCATTTAGCCTTCCTCTGCATCAAGCAGGAAGTTCAACACATTCACCCTAAAGGCAGCGGTGGAAGCACTCAACAGTAGTACTTGAGTAACAGTATTGATACTCATATTCAAATCTTACTGTCTTGCAATTAAAAGTTACTCTATCAAACATCTACTTAAGGTAAATTATTAGATTACTCACTTTCAAAAAATTTTATTCGAATTTGCATGGATTTACAAGTACATCACGGTCACGATTCAGAACAGAAGGACCCAGCATACAAGCAAGACAGACAGTGGGATAACTCAAAAAGTGTTTATTCAGATAAACGGGCTGCGGGTCTGCAGTAGCAGTAGCTAGGGCGTCTCAGGCAGGAAACTCTGGATTACAAGTTCAGTCCATAGCCAGAGAACAAGGTAATGATCCAGCAGATGGCCTGCCAACAAGATGTGGCAAGCACCACCCAGAGAGTCCCAGATTCTGCAGCCCCAGAGAACATTCGGGAGTCCGAAGTTAGGTCTGCCCAACAGCAATGATGAACGGGAGCATTCTATACCCAGGGATTGTAGCAGCTAGGCAAGAGCTGTCACTCTGGTAAAGAATCTGGTTGGAATTTGAAATTGTAAAGGTTAGCTGTTTTATGAAGCATAACATAAGACTGACTAAAACTAGACTAAAAACTTTTTGAGTTTTAGTCGACTAAAACCAACTAAAACTATTACATATACTGCAGTGATGACAAAAATGTGACTGAAACTAATAGTAGTTTTTGTCAAAAACAACACTGGCCTGAACATTATTTATGCATCACATTGCATTTCTATAGATATTGAAACTTCTCTATGTTATCCAAAAAACTGAATGCAAAATAAAAGAAACTGTAGGTCAAGCTGTGAGAGATGAATCTGCTCTAAGGATCTTGGCACAATTCTGTAATAATAATCAGAGAGAAACTGCAAAAGTTTTCAGGAGGAGATTATGTCAAAGTCAGTCCTAAACCTTGTTTTCAAAGCATTTCTTTCCAAGCTAAGGATCCCCACACACAGGGTGTGTCATTTTACTGTGATAAGTGCTCTATAGTATTCTACTATAGGAGGAGAACAAGAATCTGCCTGGGTGTAGCTACACCTGAATAAAAAGCAGCATTTATGAAGGAGCATTTCCCCTGTCACCCTCTTCCCATTGATACATTATCTTTCATGCTGCAGCAATACCTGTTTAACCGGGAACTTGATGAAGGTTGTTAAGACAAGTTAGAAGCTGGCAGATGCTCAAAACAGATAAACACACATCCCCTCTTCTTCTAAGAAGGTAGCTATAAATCTACAGGGCTTCTATTTTCTGTACTTACTGGCAGTAAAATAACTGAAGAAGGAAATGTTTACCGTCTCCATGTGACATTTGTGTTGCATAGCAAAAACTGGACGAGATGAAAAAAGACCGACAGCTAAGCCTCAAATTCTGTTTTTTGGTGACAACATTGTAAAATGTCTAAGACACATTTTCAGTAAAATCACAAAGACATGAGGAAGTGATTTTAAACCATCGTAGCATGTTGTTTTGCTTTGTATTTTTTTTGTCATCTGAATCTTCATGACTGTGGCTATGTGCACAAGCACAACATTTGAACACTTGAATCATGTTGAACGAGTGGTAACAGTTGACATTTTATATTTCTTTGTAAAGACAAGTCTGGGCTCTTTTCCAACACCTCGAACAAATAAACGGCACCTCACGCCCAGATACTGTACAGCCTTGCAGGTGTGTGACAAATACATTTGTGTGGAAGATTAAATAAAACGAACACTCATTAGTAATATCAAAAACCATTAATAATATCAAAAGTAATATTAAGGAATTGGAAAGAAATTAATTTCCCACGAAACAGACATTGCAGCCTACATTAAAATGTTAAAATGAGGAAGTTATGTCCCCTTGAAGGCAGTTGCGCCTCGGGACTTCCCTTCCGATTCTTTACTTGGGAGTAAGTTATTTACTACTCTTAACTCAAACTGGGTAAAACCATATAAAAAAGGACTATAAAAACAGGAGTAAAAAACAGGACAGAGAAAATGCTTGGAGTTGGCAAAGCTGTGGGCTCAAAAAACGTCAGCGAGCGTCCGGCAAAGACTGAGCCCCGAACAAGGTCGTCTTCTCCTTCTTATACCTCATGAGTCTATGTGTTGGATCAGGTGG